CCCCCGGCTGCCCCCCTGCCTGCTGCTCTCCCTGGGGTGCCCCGGGCGCCCTCGGCTCCCCTCCTGCCTGCTGCACTCCCTGGGGTGCCCCGGGCACCCTCGGCTCCCCTCCTGCCTGCTGCACTCCCTGGGGTGCCCCGGGCACCCTCGGCTCCCCTCCTGCCTGCTGCACTCCCTGGGGTGCCCCGGGCACCCTCGGCTCCCCTCCTGCCTGCTGCACTCCCTGGGGTGCCCCGGGCACCCTCGGCTCCCCTCCTGCCTGCTGCACTCCCTGGGGTGCCCCGGGCACCCTCGGCTCCCCTCCTGCCTGCTGCACTCCCTGGGGTGCCCCGGGCACCCTCGGCTCCCCTCCTGCCTGCTGCACTCCCTGGGGTGCCCCGGGCACCCTCGGCTCCCCTCCTGCCTGCTGCACTCCCTGGGGTGCCCCGGGCACCCTCGGCTCCCCTCCTGCCTGCTGCACTCCCTGGGGTGCCCCGGGCACCCTCGGCTCCCCTCCTGCCTGCTGCACTCCCTGGGGTGCCCCGGGCACCCTCGGCTCCCCTCCTGCCTGCTGCACTCCCTGGGGTGCCCCGGGCACCCTCGGCTCCCCTCCTGCCTGCTGCACTCCCTGGGGTGCCCCGGGCACCCTCGGCTCCCCTCCTGCCTGCTGCACTCCCTGGGGTGCCCCGGGCACCCTCGGCTCCCCTCCTGCCTGCTGCACTCCCTGGGGTGCCCCGGGCACCCTCGGCTCCCCTCCTGCCTGCTGCACTCCCTGGGGTGCCCCGGGCACCCTCGGCTCCCCTCCTGCCTGCTGCACTCCCTGGGGTGCCCCGGGCACCCTCGGCTCCCCTCCTGCCTGCTGCACTCCCTGGGGTGCCCCGGGCACCCTCGGCTCCCCTCCTGCCTGCTGCACTCCCTGGGGTGCCCCGGGCACCCTCGGCTCCCCTCCTGCCTGCTGCACTCCCTGGGGTGCCCCGGGCACCCTCGGCTCCCCTCCTGCCTGCTGCACTCCCTGGGGTGCCCCGGGCACCCTCGGCTCCCCTCCTGCCTGCTGCACTCCCTGGGGTGCCCCGGGCACCCTCGGCTCCCCTCCTGCCTGCTGCGCTCCCTGGGGTGCCCCGGGCACCCTCGGCTCCCCTCCTGCCTGCTGCACTCCCTGGGGTGCCCCGGGCACCCTCAAATCCCCTCCTGCCTGCTGCACTCCCTGGGGTGCCCCGGGCACCCTCGGCTCCCCTCCTGCCTGCTGCACTCCCTGGGGTGCCCCGGGCACCCTCGGCTCCCCTCCTGCCTGCTGCACTCCCTGGGGTGCCCCGGGCACCCTCGGCTCCCCTCCTGCCTGCTGCGCTCCCTGGGGTGCCCCGGGCACCCTCGGCTCCCCTCCTGCCTGCTGCGCTCCCTGGGGTGCCCCGGGCACCCTCGGCTCCCCTCCTGCCTGCTGCACTCCCTGGGGTGCCCCGGGCACCCTCGGCTCCCCTCCTGCCTGCTGCACTCCCTGGGGTGCCCCGGGCACCCTCGGCTCCCCTCCTGCCTGCTGCACTCCCTGGGGTGCCCCGGGCACCCTCGGCTCCCCTCCTGCCTGCTGCACTCCCTGGGGTGCCCCGGGCACCCTCGGCTCCCCTCCTGCCTGCTGCACTCCCTGGGGTGCCCCGGGCACCCTCGGCTCCCCTCCTGCCTGCTGCACTCCCTGGGGTGCCCCGGGCACCCTCGGCTCCCCTCCTGCCTGCTGCGCTCCCTGGGGTGCTCCGGGCGCTCTATGGGGTCCCCCTGTCACCCCCGGCTGCCCCCCTGGCTGCTGCACTCCCCGGGGTGCACCAAGTCTATCGCTCCCCTTCTACAAACTACCCCGGAAACGCGAGGGTAACTTAGGATATTAGGCTCTGATACCAAGTGTTATGAGTTGTGAATGAAAAGAGTGTGCAGAATTCAATAACGCTGAAGTGATTACAACGTCTGAATGAACAACGAGGCCTAGGCACAATATAGCAAGGCTAGCTAGGCCGAGGTCGCGGGGTCGCGAGATGGTTGGGTGCAGGTTCGGGGTTGGAAAACCCGAAGGCGACGCGGTAGTGGCTCGGAAGGCGAGGTCGGCGGACCGAGCCTGGTTTTCCGAAAGTCGGGGTTGTACGCGTACAGAGTGACCCAGTAAGGAATCCGAAAAATTCCTTACACAGTGATATGGCGTGTGACCATAAAGCCAGCAGCTAAAATAGTGACCCCCCCCTTCTAGTTGGGTCCAACTTGAAAACCACTCTCGCTTGGGAACGTTATGGTGCTGGTGGTTTTCTCTTTTGACGGCCGAAGCATTGTAAAAGGGAACGGGAACCAGTAAAATTCTCTTACAATTCTGATTGGGTGGATTTCTGATGTGCGAATTTGCCAGAGGATTGCGCGACGAGAGAAGAAATGCTACATTCACCAGAGTCTGAACTTCACCAAATTTCAGGACAATAACAGCACGCAAAATCCATTGCAGAAACACATATACAAGCAGAGACTCGACGAGCATGAACTTTGTGCACAGAGGCAGCAGTGAGAATTTTGATGCCTTGGACGTGCCTGAGAGAGGAGCAATAACGAGGGGTTGATGGGACAAGGTGATGTGCACGGAGAGACAGTGAGTGATGGTGAGAGGGAGAAGGGTGACGGCTGAGATGAAAGGTTCACAACAATGCGCAGGGTGACGCGTGAGGAAGAGAGAGGTGTTGGGAAGGTTGACGGGACGGAAGGTTGCGAAGGCGGCGACGCTGATGGCGGGAGGGTCGACAGAGAGATTAGAAGGGAGAGAGGACGGGACAACGGACATCAACAGCGGCGAGAGGGAGCAGGGACAGCAGAGGCTACGGGGAGGGGAGAGGAGACAGCGCGGGCGACGAGAGGGGAGGGCTGAGAGGAAGAACGACGGAAGGGGAGGGGAGAACACAAAGCGCGACGGGAAGGGAGGAAGTGAGGAAGACAACGGGGAGGGAATAGACTCTCTTTTAAATGTTTGGCGGAAATTTTTTACTCGGAGAAAGAACGGCGGAAAGGTTGCGGATACAACGGGGGGGGTGGCGGGAGGGGAGGGAATAGACTCTCTTAAAAATGTTTGGCGGCGAATTTTACTCGGAGAAAGAACGGCGGAAAGGGAGGGGAGAACACCCAGGCCGACGGGAGGGGAGGAAAACAGCAACGCGATGGGATGAGGAGGGGAGACTGCGAGGGCAATCAGAACGTGAGGGCGATTGCGAGGGTGAGGGGAGGGCGACTTGACGGGCGGCGCGATTGAGAGTGAATGGCTACGGCAAAGGGCGACGGGAAGGGACACGGGATGGCGTTGTGATGCGCGACGGACGGGCGACAGGGTGGGCGACGTGACGGGCAAGGAACGGGCGACAGGGAACACGACGGGAGAGTGACAGCGAGGAAAACGGGCTAGAGAGAAGAAGGGTAAAAGGAGGGCGTCGGGAGGGCGATTGCGATGGGACGCGAGGGCGATTTAAGGCGAGCGCGAGGACAGCGTGGTGGGACATGGGGGTGATGAGAGGAAGAAACAGCAACAGCAACGACGATGAAAGTAATACAGACAGTCGAACAATTGTTTCATGACTAAGTCGGATTAGCCTAATTTGTCGTCTCAGCTATTCTATGCTAGGCAAGCCACGCGACCTCGCGACCACGATATGAACTTGGGTGAGCACGTTCTGAAACTTTGTTTTGGCGGGAACCAATCACGTAAGTTCAATCTGACGGCGGGAAATGTTTGGAACAGTGTTTTATTGGCCCAACGTCGTTCTCGTTTTGCCTATGCGGAACACGTTTTCAAGATGGTCCTGCCTTCACTATTTTATATTTCGGTTATAACCAACGAAGCCTCAATCTGATTGGGAAGCTTGTAAAAGTATAGATGAGATGGATATCTTTCACTTTCCACTGTAAAGAACCAGCTACTACGGGTACGCACTTGAAAGTTTTCCAGAACCTCCTGCCAGAACGCTTGATTCGGAAGCTTTGATGTTTTGTCAGAACAACAGCTCAAGTTGCATGAATGCCAGCGTAATTTTTAATTTGTGGGCATCAACAAATACAGTACAGTGTCGCGTTATGATCCCGCACTCCGACTCGGATGGACGGGTTCGCCACCGGCGAACCGGTGGCGGCGAACCGGTGGCAAAATCAAAGCTGCTGTGATAGGATTCTGGCATCAAACTGCAAGCAGGTTACCTGCCAGCCCGTTGGTTTGCTCTTGCCGCGGTTTTCCCCAGCTGTACCCCGTGTTCGACCGTAGCCGCCCCCCGCCCGCCCCACCTTGTGCCGTTGCCCCACCCCCTCACACGAACGACGGGGAGACTGTTTCATGCATTCACTGCTGCAGATTCCTATTTCGGCTTCTTTTGTCTGCCCGCAGAACGTCAAGGGGGCACCTCCCAGTGGGATTGCTGCTGCACGTTCACCGACAAAGTCCAGAGTCCTGACCCTTCCACTCACCTGGCCTGGACCAATCCCCTTTCGGTTCAACTTCCGTTTCATCCTCCTGCCAGAGAAGCGGTGGGATGAGATGAGATGAGATCCGTCCATCCTCCACTCCTGCCCTCCACTGCCAGGGAGCAAACCCGGCCAGAAGCAAGCAAGCAAACCCTCTCTGCTGTGCACACACAACACAACCGCCTTGTCTCTCTGCAGACATCAAGCAAACCCTAGTCCCCTTTCGCCCTGACAGTCATAAAGCCCATCCGCACGCCATCAACACCGCCAACCGCGGTTCTCGTGTTCGTTTTCTGCTCACTGATAATTTGCTGGCTTTAGAACCTCGTTTCTCGCTTCGCTTGAGTTTTAATCAGGTTATTACCTTTCGACGTAGTCACTACTTAGTTGTCGTGTGCTCTAGGGTTTCATTCCGTGACTTTTGGTGTTGTTATAGGCAAATAATAGACGACGTGCGTGTAGCAGGAACGTTCGATTAGTTACTAAGAGCCTCGCCGTGCGGTCTTAGATATTCGCTTATTTCTTCCCTTGTTTGCAACGAAGTCGCGGCGGTTGCGACCATGGTTATATTACGGCAGACGCTTAGGAGTTTATGCTCGCCAGATGGATGGACCTATGCAGTGTTCTGGAAGCTAAAGAGACGAAACCGAATGTACGTTGGGAAATTTCACGTCCTTAGGTTTCTCCAGCAGTTTCAGCAGTATTTTGTTAGCTAACTTTGCTTCCTACGCACTTGGTTCAGGGTCCTGACTTGGGAGGATGGATATTGCTCGATGGATACCCCGGGAGCGATTCAGAAGGATCAGAGCGCAGATATTAGTAGCATTGACGGGAATGTGCTCGGCATGGCGGTCGCGAAAATGTCTTATCACATATATTCCTTCGGAGAAGGGTGAGCACTAGTTCGTTCATGTCCAGATTTCCTTATACTCGCTCAGTGGCTTCGTCGGCTTGTCTCTCGTTACTGTCTGTGCCTGACTGACGCATCATTGAGACTGCAAAGCCTGCTGTTGCCGTTGACGTCTCATGTCATCGTATCATGTTTCCTCTGCTTCTCAGAGTTGTGGGAAGAGTGGCTTTTTCTGGGAAGCATCAATGGATATTCGCTCCACGTTCTCAAGGAGTTGCTGGCATGGATTCTCGCCAGGGATTTCCGTCCATGAAGGGATACGGTGGCTGCACTGGAGTTGACAAGGTGATCATCTAGCTTTCATTCTATCTTTTGCGTCGCTGAATGTACCTGCAATTGATTTTATTGTGTCGTTTCTACTGGACGGCGTTTCTGACGTATCATCTGCGTACGTTATTTCTCCTTTCAGTATCCATCTGGATGGGACGATCAATTCGCTGCTGGAGTGAAGGTGCGTATCATACATTCTGTTTTATGTCGTCAGCCACTTGCTGCTTTCGGCCTGCTAACGCTGCGAAACTGTCGGTTTTGCCTTGACAGACTATTGCCGTCATCGCCGTTCCGGAGGGAGTCTTGCAGCTCGGCTCCAGTCGATCGGTTAGTCTTGAAGCATGTTTCCGCCGATTAATCCGAATCATCCGACCTACGGGAGCCCCAGGTTAAGTCTTGCTGTCTCTCCGTGTTGTGCAGATGCCAGAGGATTTGAAATTCGTTTCACACATCCGCTCTCTCTTCGCGGCGCTTCAAACAGTCCCCGGAGCGTTTCTGTCCGATCTCTTCACCGAAAATGCCATGAAAGCGAAATCGTTTCCCACACCTGACGCGACCGCGCTTGCAGCCGCTGGATTTCCTCCCGACATCGCCGCGTCTCTTGGCAATCTCAACCCGCAGTCCAGTTTCCCCGGCGTCTCCTTCCCCGAAGCTCTCAACCGTCGATCAGTCCAGCCCAACCCGCAAAACCTACAGATGCCTGCTCCTGCACCTGCTGCTGCACCTGCTGCTGCTCCTCCTGCCGCCCCTCCAGCTCCATCTCGTCCGTTCACGGGAAATCCTCTGGCCGTCTCGTCGCCGTCGGATCTCTTCAGCATTCTCGGCATCCCTTCCGACTGCCGTGCGGACGACCAGAGCGCTTCTCGGTTCCTGGGCTCCGCGCCTCTCAAGCCGCCAGCGGACCTAAAACAAGAAGCAGCAGCGCCTTTGACTGACTACGCGAGCACTGCAAAACGAGTGAAGGTCGCACCAGAGAGGTCGACGACTCGAGCGTCCGTCGCCATTAACCAGATTCAGCTTAACTTCTTCGACTCGGACCTCCCTCTAGGCGGGCCGGCTCCTCCCTCCCACTCGAATACGTCGCTGCCGTCCAGACTATCGTCTCCGACGGAAGCTTCCGCGCACGTGCTCGGCCCGTCCGGCGAGCTGCTGGGAAGAGCAGAGGCGGAAGCGGGAGCGGGAGCGGCGAAGCGGAAGGCGGTGGTGGATCTGGAGAAGGAGCTGCGCATCTTCCACGACCAGTTTCTCAACGACCCCGCGCCGTCCCTCGCCAACCTCCCCTCCGCCAACCTCCCCTCCGCCAACCTCCCCTCCGCGAGCTCCGCCGCGCAGAAACCCATGGCGGCGAGCGCTGCTGCTGCTTCGGGGGTTGGGTCGGCGTCCGAGCGCGCGTCTGCGCGGAGAAGCCTTGGTGTTGCCGGCGGCTTTGCGGGTCTGGACGAGCAGTTTCTCGCGGGCATGACTGCGAGTGGCATGACTGCGAGCGGCCTGACTGGGGGCAACATGACCGCGAGCGGCATGGCAGGCAATCGGAACGGGAACGCTGCTGCGCGGGCGTCTCAGTTCAATACCGGCGGTGACGCGCTGGGGTCTTCGTCCGCGTTTGGCGGCGCAGATGAGCTCGCGCAGGCCCTGGGGCTGCACTTCACAGGACAGTTGCCCGTTGACTTGGCTGACCTCGCTGACCTGGCTAACCTGGCGGACATTGGCGCGAACCAAGTGTCTGCCAACGGTCAGATGGGAAGCGCAATGAGCCGCGGGGTATTCGACCAGGCAGGGGCTGTTGGAGCCGCTAGTCGCGGTGCTGATGGCGGTGGCTCACGGGGAGGGTTTTCCATGGCTTCCGGCCCGCCGCAGCCACAGAAGCTGCCGCACAGGTCTGGGGTGGGCCCTGCCGCTGGTAGTACTGTCGGATTTGACGAGCTGAGTGCGTCGCTGAGCAGGGCAGGTGCAGTGAACGGCGGTGTAGGGGCGGGGATGGGAGGGGCGGGAGCGGGGATGGGGAACAGCCTGGCGGAAATGGAACGGATGGCGACTCTGGAAGCTCTCATGCGGACCTCCGGGCTGCTGCCTCGCCTGAGCCTCGCGGAGCTGCAGCAAAGCCAAGCCCTCGGCACACACAACTCCGTGGCCGGAGCTGCTGCAGCAGAAGCAGCGAATGCTGGGATGGCGTCAGGTGTTAAGCTTGGGAGCCTCCCAGGGCTTCAGAGCAGGGCGAGCGTTGCTGGCAAGCCTGCTGGAGATGGTGGAAGAGGTGCAAGAAGCGTGGAGCCCAGTGGGAAGGGCGTGTTGAAGCCTGAGAGTGTGTTCAAGGCCTTGCCAGACTGGTCGGCAAATGCTGGTGTGCAGGAGCTCGGCGTGCCAGATTTATGTGGTGGTGCTGCTGCTGGGAAGGAGGAGAAGAAGGGGACGAAGAAGAGGGGCAGGGAGGAGAAGCCCAAGCAGAGGCCCCGTGATAGGCAGTTGATTCAAGATCGTGTGAAGGATCTGCGAGGGATCGTGCCCAACTCTGAAAGGGTATGTTTCTGGTGATTTTTTAGTTTGTACTTTCTGTTCTTTCTTTTATCATTTTTCTTCGTTCTTCTGATTTTGCGCTTCAAGTTGACAATGACAAATTTATTGGTTCCTTGCAGCTGAGCATTGATGGACTTCTGGAGCGCACAATCCAACATCTGGTGTTTCTGAGGGAGTTCTCCGCTCTCCGTGCAGACATTGACAAAGGTCAAGCAATGCTGGTGAGTAGTGGTTTATGAAGGTTCATTGTCACTTCATCCTTTCTCTATACTTCATTTTTTTAACTTACATGGTTTTGTTTGCACGCAGGCGGAGAAGAGTTTTGATGAATGTATGAGTGATTGCCCAGTATCCGTGCAACAACTTTCGCCGACTCTAGTTCAAATTAAGGTGAATTTTGTACTTTTTCTTTCTTTCTTTCGTGCCATCACAATGTCCAAGTCAACTCAGCTCTGTGTGTTTATTCTTGTGTGCAGGTCGAATGGATTGGTAGCACTGTGCCGATTGACCTTGCTGACGGTCTTCGCCAGATTGGCCTGGTGGTTCGCAAGTCATCAGTGAAGTCCTCTGGTGGTCGTGTCAAGGCACACATTATTGCAGAGGTGAGCCTGTGCCTTATCTGGTAGTTCAGTCAGTAGGATACATAAAACCTGGTTTTTGTGTGTTGTGCATGCCCGGTGGTTGACTAAAGTACCGTATTGTTTGTTGTTGGCAGTGCAAACAACATGTGGAGCGCATGGACATCATGTGGCATGTTCTCCAGCACCTGAAGGATAAGCTGCCAGAAATGGCCAACGTCTTTTCTGGGACTGAGAAGCAGATGGAGACAGGGAAGCCAGATCGTGCCTTTGATCCGGCAGATTCATGCCGTCAGGTGGTCTATCAAGTTGGGGTTATGTCAGCTTGAAGTTACATGGTAGACACTGTGGTGTGTTTAGCGCTCCTTCTTAGTACGCTTTTCTTGTCTAGAATGAAATTCGTGTCTGACGTATCATTTTGTGAGCTGTAAAGAATGTATCATCTTACCGTATTGTCTGAAACTGATGACAACTGTACACAATTGCACAGGTATTTTTTAGAAATTGAAAGAATACTACCATATTGGCAATCATTTCATCTTTATGTATACTACCAGTATCATATCAATACATACACTTTCATGAAATCCTTGATACGGACTACAATGATGAACATTCAACTTTTGGTCACCATCAGGCGCTTGATGTTGGATATCTGTTTCCCAGGGCTCAATCCCTTGGGACACGCCTTGGTGCAGTTCATGATGGTGTGGCAGCGGTACAGCTTGAAGGGATCATTCAAATCATCAAGCCTCTCCTTGGTATACTCATCGCGGCTGTCCATGATCCACCTGAAATCGCAGGGAAAAAACAGAGAGCCAGTGTCACATGTAGATGCAGAAGTATAAGGAGCAACTTAAAACCACCCCCCGCCTTCCCTCCCCTTCCTGCCTGCCCCTCCCTCCCGACCCCCTCCCAAAAAGAAAACAAGCAACTGAATCTGATCGCAATACCTGTTAGCATTCAGAAGCGCAGACGGCCCGAGGTACTTCTCGGGGTTCCACCAATAGCTGGGACACGAAGTGCTGCAGCACGCGCACAGGATGCATTCATACATGCCGTCGAGCTTTGCGCGGTCCTCCTTCGTCTGAAGAAACTCCTTTCCATCTTCCGGAAGCTTCTTGGTCTTCAGCCACGGCTCGATGGACTTATACTGCTGATAGAATTGAGTCATATCCACCACGAGATCCTTAATGACAAACATATGAGGCAACGGAGTGATTGGAATAGACGCTCCTGGGGATGCTTCGATCTTGGTGAGACAGGCGAGGCCGTTCGCGCCGTTGATGTTCATCGCGCAAGAACCGCAGATCCCTTCCCGGCAAGATCTGCGGAACGCGAGAGTCGGGTCGAGCTCGTTTTTTATCTTAAGCAGAGCGTCAAGAATCATGGGCCCACATTCCCTGGTGTCAATGGTGTAAGTCTGAAGACGCGGCTTCTCGTTGCGGTCGGGATCCCATCGGTATATCGAGAACTGCTGCGGGCCTTTAGAGGCAGCGGCAAGCGCGGGAGCCGATCCGCTCATGAACGTCCTGAAAGGAAGCTTTCCTGACGCAACCGACTTGGCGTTCTGCCGCGCCAGGCGCGCAACAAGGCCTCCCACAGTCATAGCGTCCCGGGAGCTGAACGAAAAGAAGGACCTGTGAGCACGACCAGGAAGGTCCTACTAATGTCGTCCTTAGTTCAGCACGCTATGGAGTAGGTACAACACTACCAACACCTAGTTTCTAGGTTGGCTGATGCTTGATATGTTGAAGTTCCACGAAATCTGTACCTCCCTCGTGATGTGAAGGGGAGTCTGCGCTGGCTATGGATATTCTCTTGGTTGGCTGAAATGCCTGAGGAGTAGGACCCGTTTCCAGTGCGAAGGGCCCAAGGCCCACCGAAAAGGCGAGTACTGTACCAGTGTGGAGTGCGAAGGCTCTAATAGAATTGCTTAGCTAAGCTCGCTCAGAAGGCTGCCACGCCAGCACATAGTGACGTTGCGGGCTAGTTCAAGAGTGCGTTAGATGAAGCTTCGTTTTATTGTGGACCAGCAACTGAAATCACAAGACGGTGTATTATAAGATAGACTACTGCAATTACCAAAAACTATGTGAATAAAACACCCAATACGTAGGATTAAGTTTTTGGGTTGCGTAGCAATTTTCGGTCGACTCAAATGAGCAGTGCAATTTTGTCATTTTCCCAACGTTTAAAGCCCTCATTAAACGTTTTTAAAGCCAGCAGCTAAAATAGTGACCCCCCCCCCCCCTTTCTAGTTGGGTCCACTTGAAAGTTGAAGTGCTATTCTTTACTTTTTTTCAGGCGCATATGATGCTGATCGATTTTCCAAACTTCAGCTCAAACAAATATCGTCGCAGGCATGTGCAAACCGCGTCGCTCAAAACAATGCGACGTGCAAGTTTCATTCACATCTAGTGCCAAATTCGCATTGTAAAGCACATCCAACTCATGCAAAGCAAGCCCAACGCACGCAAAGCAAATGCCTTAGACATGGGCATGCAAGGAAGGCAATAACATGGGAAAAACAAGAAGCGAAAAAAACAGAGAATTTCAGGGCACGAGAGAAGAGACAGATAGTGCAGCAGAAACGAGGACGCGAGAAGACGATGCGTGAGCAAATTCTGCGGAATGGTTGGGAGATGGGAGGGGCATGGGGGAGGGTCACATGAGGTGGAGCGAGGGCGACGGAAAGGGAGGGGAGAGAGCGAGCGCAACAGAAAGGAAGGGGAGAACGCGAGGGCGACGGGAACAGAGGGGAGAGAGCAAGGGCGACAAAAATGGAGGGGAGAGAGCAAGGGGACGAGAACAAGGACCTGAAGGGATCGACGGGAGGGGAGGGTAGAGAAGTGGAACGACGGGAGGGGAGGTAAATTTGTACGAAATTAGGGGTCCTATTATTATAATAAGAAAACAACAGAGAAATTCGCGAGGCGACGGGAGAGAGCGAGGGCGACGTGAGAGAGCAAGGGCGACGTGAGAGAGCGAGGGCGACGGGAGAGAGCGAGGGCGACGCGAGAGAGAGAGGGCGACGTGAGAGAGGGAGGGCGACGTGAGAGATCGAGGGCGACGTGAGAGAGCGAGGGCGACGGGAGGTGACGGGAGAGAGGGCGACGGGAGAGAGGGCTGTCAGAATGTGATGTTTGTGTAGCCTGCAGTGGGGTACTCTATAGCGAGTACAACCCAAATTAGGGTTTGCTATATGTACTCAACTGCTTGCTAGTGAAAACCCCTCTTTGCGTGTTTCTCGTTTGCGCCTAGCTTGTTTCGACATGCTATCAGAGCAGGTCGACCCTCTTGGGTCGATCCTGTGGGTGGGCCCCACCCGATGCTTTCGCTGCTCTACTGCCTGTAGCGCGCACCGGGCGCGTGCTGTTTCCTGCCTGCCGCGCGCTCCGGGCGCGCAGCGATTTTTTCTTCCCGCCGCGCGCCCCGAGCGCGCGGCCCGTACGGGCTGCGCCAGGCCCGCGCGCGGCCCGTACGGGCTGCGCCAGGTTCGCGCGCGGCCCGTACGGGCTGCTACAGGCCCGCGCGCGGCCCGTACGGGCTGCGCCAGGCCCGCGCGCGGCCCGTACAGCCTGCGCGCGGCCCGTACGGGCTGCGCCAGGCCCGCGCGCGTGTCAGAATCCCAGTCACTAACCACTGGGATAAAAGGGCTTGTTTATATAGCGGGTGAGTGCGCCCATAACCCCCCAGGCCGACGTGCCTGTAACCCTTCCCTAGGATCATCGGGGATCCCCAGTGGACCTCTGACACCCCCCCGCACTGGGATGCCCGAAGTGCACACACCGGGAATTGAACCCGAGACCTTCGCTCTGATACCATGTCAGAATCCCAGTCACTAACCACTGGGATAAAAGGGCTTGTTTATATAGCGGGTGAGTGCGCCCATAACCCCCCAGGCCGACGTGCCTGTAACCCTTCCCTAGGATCATCGGGGATCCCCAGTGGACCTCTGACAGCGCGGCCCGTACGGGCTGCGCCAGGCCCGCGCGCGGCCCGTACGGGCTGCGCCAGGCCCGCGCGCGGCCCGGGCAGCCCGCGCGCGGTTCGTCCGGCTTGCGCCAGGCCCGTGCGCGGCCCAGGCAGCCTGTCCCAGTGCCGCATGCCGTCCCCCGAGCTTTTGACGGCGCCCCACCCCTGCTGCTGCCCGCGTTCCTGTGTTAGGGTTTGGGGGTGGAGAGTATGGGGGTGCCGTGTGTGTGCGCCGTCCCTGCTCCTCCTCCTCCTCCGTCTCCCACTGCTGCAGCTGCCGCTGAGGGGGGTGGATGTGTTGGAGCCGTCGGAGTTGTACGAGGGGGGTGGCGTGTGAGCAGTGCTAGAGGTACAGCAGGGAGTGTGTGAAAGGGGTGTGGGACAGTTGGGGGAGGTTGACCGGAGGTAGCCGACTTGTCGTCCGCAGCGCCTGAAGTCCAGAGAGCCACGACCCCCTGTGGCCTGAGTAGTCCGGGGCTCTGCGCCCGGTAGCCACAGTGTGAGCACTCCTGGGAGCACAGAGAGCCAGCTGCGACCCCCTGTCGCCGTGTAGTCCGGGTTTAGCCTGGTAGCGACAGTGCTGCGCACTCCTGCTGCCCGTGTGTCTGCAGCTTCAGCCGTCGCCTCCCATCTTCTCGCCTCCACAGTTTCTCCTCCTCCTCACTTGCCCTCTGTGATAGCCTCTAGCTTTGCTTATAATTGTGAACTACTGCTCTGCCTGCTTGTTGTGTTGATTGTACCCCACTTTGACTATGGGGGTGTGTCAGAATGTGATGTTTGTGTAGCCTGCAGTGGGGTACTCTTTAACGAGTACAACCCAAATTAGGGTTTGCTATATGTACTCAACTGCTTGCTAGTGAAAACCCCTCTTTGCGTGTTTCTCGTTTGCCCCTAGTGTTTCGACAAGGGCGACGGGAGAGAGGGCGACGGGAGAGAGGGCGACGGGACAGAGCGAAGGAGAGAGCGAGGGCGATGGGAGAGAGGGCGATGGGAGAGAGGGCGACGGAAGTGCGCGGAGAGAGAGAGCACGACGGGAAGGGAGGGGCGAGAGAGAGGGCGACGGAAAGAGAGCGGTGAGAGAGAGCGCGATGGGAAGGGAGGGGGGAGAGAGAGGGCGACTGGAAGGGAGCGGAGAGAGAAATCGCGACGGGAAGGGAGGGGGGAGAGAGAGGGCGACGGGAAGGGAGGGGCGAGAGAGAGGGCGACAAAACAGGAGGGGAGAGCGCGTAAGCGATGGGACGACATGGGAAAAATGGGGTGGGCGACGAGAGAATGTTTCGAGGCAAGCTTGAATGCGAAGAGGTGGGTGATGGGCGGGAGGATCGGAATAAGGCCGCCGCGAGGGCAATCC